CTATGTCATCAATAATCCGCGAAGTAGTGATGGCGCTTGTATCAAGACCGGGGTAGATGTGCCTAATTAACCACCGGCTGAGTTTGAAACCCTTGCGGTAGGCCTCGGTCATCACGTCGTCGAACCTCGAAGACTTAACATAGTCAATGACATCCTAGATCTTGGTCTCCTTGAGGGCATCCTCGAAGAGTTCGGTCTTCTCTTTGACGTCGCTTTGGAGGTACTCCACCTCGTGCTCCAACTTCTCTTTTGCTTCCTTAAGACCCTGCACCTCGAGCTTCAGGGCATCCCGGTCTGCCTTGAGACTGTCTGCCTCGAGCCTCAAGGCCTCTTGGCCAACCTTGAACCCATTCACCTCGGCCCTCAATCTGTCCTTGTCGCCAGCTCACTCTTCTCCGCCAGCAGCACCTCTATGAAGCTCTTCTGAGCTGAGGCATCATTCTGCAAGTGGTGGATCTGGTTGCGAGCTGCCCTCAGTTCAGTATGGGCTGCGCGGGATGACTTCTCAGCTTCCAAAGCCCGTTTTAGATGCCGATCAGATCGAAAGGTCAGGGCACGCACGGCTGAGTTCACCTACAAAAAGGAGACCAGTCAAAAAAAAAAGGAACTCACCACCATGGTATGAGAAGCAGCTCGGGCACCGAGCTGACCAAGAGTGAGATCGGCCCATTCTGTGACCTCCTCTGGGTACGCAGCCTCCTTACTCTTCTGAAGACTGCACTGGGGGTTTAGAATGCTTTGGCCCTCCTGACTCCTCGAGCTGGATTCCGACATCTCGGCCGCATGAGTGGACTCCTCGGAAGCTTCGGCGGTGACTTCAGCAGGACGAGCTTCGGTTGTAGCCTCTGTAGGGCGAGCCTCGGCGACAGCTCCAGTGGCGTCCCTGGCAATAGTCTTGACAGGCTCGGTGGTGGACTCTACCGCCATCTCGGGCCCCTGAGGCACCACGTCCCCCTCCAAGTCGATGACAGGTGGAGCGTTGGGGAGCTCGGGCTCCGAAGCCGGGGCCTGTGGAGGCTGAACCTCGGCGGAGGCCTATGGGGACTCGACGCGTGCCTTCTTGGTTACACGCTTCTTCCTCTTCATCTGGCGAAAGAACCTCTGGCCATCTATCCTTTTTGCCTCCATGGGACCTGTAGCGAAGCTCGGCGTTAGTAACCCTAAAACAAGTATGCGAACAAGAAAGCCGAAGTAAGGACAAGACCTACCGGGGCTCAAGCCGGCCTGGATGAGCTTCTCCTCGGCTGTAAAGTCCTTGTAATTCAACCCGAGTTGAGCCCACGACTGAAGCGACTTCTTAGTCTTCCCATCATGGATGACACCGGGGTCTTGAACAGCCACCCTCCAGTTAGTAGGGAAGGGCCACCCCGTGCTGCTCCGAACTACGAAGTAGTCCCACTTCCAGGCCAGGACTTTACTCGGGAGCTTATGCATTAATTTAAAACCCGGGCGGGGAGACAGATAATAAGC